CTATCCCTCTATCATCTCTCTCTCTCTATCTATCTATCTATCCCTCTATCATTTCTCTCTCTCTTTTTCTTTCATCTCTCTCTCTCTATCATCTTTCTCTCTCTCTCTATCCCTCTATCATTTCTCTCTCTATCATCCCTCTCTCTCTCTCTCACTCTCTATCCCTCTATCATCTCTCTATCTCTCGATCCCCCCCTCCCTCCCTCTCTCTTTCTCTCTCTCTCCCTCTCTCTCTCTCCCCCTCCCTCCATGTTCATGTTGTTTTCCTCTTGTCAAACGCTGCGAATTCAAACCGACCAATCACAGCGAGGAACATGAGAATCAGAGACAGCCCCTCCCGCCTACATTCGACAAACGGCCAATGGCGTGCGCGGTGGGCGGGGCGTGTAGACAAACAGCGGAGGATTCAAAGTGAAAATGGCTGCGGGGAAACATGTCGAGGAAAACACTCCGGATAAAAGGTAAGAACGAGCTGAGCTGAGTTTAATGAAGGACTTCTTCTGGAGTTCACACACTGAGGTCACCTCAGTCACAGACAAACTTCAACCTGCGGGATCTGAACACGATTCACTTCATGTTATTGAGTCTGATCGACAAGTGCTGTCATTCCTGACGTTAGCTAACCTAGCTTAACTCAACAATAACTAACCTAGCTTAACTCAACGATAACTAACCTAGCTTAACTCAANGATAACTAACCTAGCTTAACTCAACGATAACTAACCTAGCTTAACTCAAGGATAACTAACCTATCTTAACTCAACGTCATCGCAACGCAGCTGAAAATCCACGTTGACGTCACATTGGTCGTACGTTGTTTATGTCAAACGTTCATCTTAAAATCCGTTAGCCAACATTAGCACTGATAGCTGAGGGAGCTTCCACACGTATGTGCTAACGTCTGTGGTGCTAACTAGCTAACAACAAAGCGTTGTAACGGAGGTTAACGTTGTTTCTTTACGTGTTTACACCACACACGTCTGTAGCTGTGGACACGTGATCAGAGTCCCTGTTGTTTACTGCTGCCTTTGTTCAGCCTGTGATCTGACTGACGTCAGAGTGATTCTATAGAATTATTACACTTTCTAATGCAGCACCATTTTGGATTTATGGTTTTAAAATGGTCATAAGCATAAAACAATATCAGTAATCATCCCAGTATGATTTTCTTCAATAGCAACACAAGTGTAATATGTTTAGATTTATTGATTTACCTCAGATCTGTAAAATGTTTTGCTGTGTTCCTATAATTTTTGATTTGATAATGAACGATGTGACGGTGGATGTTTGACCACATAGAACAGACTGTTCACCTGCTGCACTTCCTATTTATCTGTTATATATCAATACTGCATATTTCAAGCTAAACTGCTGAACCTTTTTCCTATAGCTCCTTTAAAACAGGTTTACAAAGTACTTTGACAGACAAAGCAGACACAGGATACTCGGGGGTAATTGCAACTAGGCAGTCACGCTGAAAAAGACAGAAATAAACGCAACAAGGAGACGACATTGCGTAAAAGGGGTATTTAAAAATAAAAAGAGTAGCATTGAAAAACATTACGACGTTACATAAAAGCTAATAAATACAAATAAAAGCAATAAAAGATGACGACATAGAGACACAGTGTGTAGTACAGTTTACAACACAGATCCATCACGCAGCTTTTTTCAAGTTGTTGACAACTTGTATTTTCCTGATCATAACTTGTCTCAAGAGTAAACTTCATGTGGAGTGTGTGCATCCCCCCCCCAGAGGTACAGTGTCCAGCATGGTGATCAATCACGAGGAATCTCCGGGGGACTCTCGAGTGGGACGACCACCGGTCATCTTCAATCCAGACTTTTTTGTGGAGAAGCTCCGCCATGAGAGCCCAGATGTTTTCCTGGAGCTGGTGCTCAGTAACATCACTCGCCTCATCGACCTTCCTGGGACAGAGTTCTCACAGCTCCTCGGCGAGGAGAGTCCCAAGACCCCAACGGGGGGAAACGGAGGCTTCTTTCGTTCTTTCAACTTCCTCAAACGCAAAGGTGAGAGGTCAAGGGAGCTGCAGCAGAAGATTTGTTTACTTCTCATTTGTTAATCATGTGCACCATCGTGCTTTTAATCTGCTGGATGAGGTCTTTCAGCTCATTTTTGAGGAAGTTTTCCGACTAATGAGCCTGAAGCAGAAACACCGGAGCACTTTTTCTGATGGGGACTTTTAGATGTAATCACTCACTCTCAAAATCTCCTGGTACAATCACAGATAAAGGAGTTGTGTTTGGAACCCCGTTGACAGAAAGCTGCATCGCTCAGATCTACCAGCTCATTGAGTACCTCAGCAAAAGTAAGTCAACAAAATCCACTTTTGTCAGAAACAGCAGCGACTGTTTAAAGCAAATCTTTGAATCTCCTGTAACTTATTTTAACACTTAATTCACCCTTGATTTCTTTTAAACCGCCTTTACAAGTCAGCACACGTATAAAAACATCAAACTAAACAGATTTAACTTTAGCAGATGCTTTAGGAGTTATTCTGTGTTCACCACCTGCTCTTGCGTCCTCAGATCTGCATGTGGAGGGTCTGTTTCGGGTGCCGGGGAACAGCGTGCGGCAGCAGACCCTGAAGGAGCTTCTCAACAGCGGCGCCGATGTCGACCTGGCGTCTGGAGACTTTCACCCCAACGACGTGGCCACGCTGCTCAAGACTTTCCTGGGAGAGCTGCCCGAGCCGCTGCTCACACACAGACACTTCCATGCACACCTTAAGATAGCTGGTAGGAACACACACACACACACACACACATCCTGGAGAAGCTGTGAAATTCTTGAAAGTGCAAAATTTCATTTTAAAATGTATATCACAGGGAAATGGATAACGAGAGGGAAAAGGTAATACTCTGTCCATAACTGTACATCTACCTTCATCATCTCTGTCCCAGACATGACTCTGTTTGACGAGCAAGGCAACAAGACCTTGGTACCCAACAAGGAGCGTCAAATCGAGGCCCTGCAGCTCCTCTTCCTGCTGTTGCCTCAGGCCAACCGCTCACTGCTCAAACTGCTGCTGGACCTACTGTACTACACTGCCAAGCAGCAGGACAAGAACAAGATGTCCGCCTTCAACCTGGCACTAATGTTCGCTCCGCACGTCCTGTGGCCCAGACACGTGAGATTTGTACTTTATAACCTGAGCCAGGGGCTGTTCAGAGAAATTCTTTTAGTCACAATTAATTATCCAGTGAATATTCTGTTTGTAGAATATGATATTATAAGTGTACTTATTAAGAAGTTATTTAAATTGACATTGTTTTTAGCATTTCTGCCCAATCATGGTTCAAAATCTCTTAATGCAGCAAATGTGTGTTGTTTTTTTTGTCCTGTTTTGTTTCAGATGACGGCCGGTGACCTGAAAGACAACCTGAAGAAACTGAATACCAGCATGGCCTTCCTCATCAAACACTCACAGAAACTCTTCAGGGTGATTATTGACCACGCGACCAAACAATTAAAAATAAAACTAGATTAGTTCTATGCTCTAAAAACCATATCTAGAAACTAATTTGAAATAAAGTATGTGCCTGTTGTAATGAATGACGTGTGCCACGTGTCCACGGTTTGATGCTCAGGCTCCAGCTTACCTGCGGGAATATGCCAGAGTGCACTTCGCTGGGACCAAGGCTCTGCAGACCAAGGTTAGTTCACAGAGTCAGATCTCAGTGTCTGTTAGAGTCCAGGCGATACAGATGTTTGGTGGAAGATAATATCTGTGGACTGAAAGGTAGATTAAAGCTCAGTCTGTTTAAGAGAGTGAAGAACATGCAGCTTTGATGAGAGGGCAGTGAATCAAACAAGATGAATCATGTTGCTGAGGCCCACTTCATCGGGTCTCCAGTCCACAGCCTGACCTGCTCTGTCCTCTCTCAGGACGATCTGGAGCTGCTGGCAGCGAGCAGCTCTCCGGCTCAGCGTGCCGTGTTGCCCATGAAGAGGACGGCTGCTCTGGGCCCCAGCGCTCAGGAGCCGTGCCATTCTCCGGCTCAGCAGTACACAGAAGAGGCTCTGAAGGACCTCTTCAGACACGTCCACCACAACATGCCGGACTCCGCCAAGAAAAAGAAACTCGTCCGACAGGTTCGCTTCAGCGTCTTCCTTCTGTCCCACGGTCCGGCTGCTGAGTGTTAAATGTCTTATAGTGTAATGTGATGTTTTGTCCTCAGTTAGTCAAACAGACGACCTCGGGGACGCCTACCAACGAGCACCACCAGGCGCCCGCAGCTCCCAGCAAGAAACATCCCCGCTCACGGTCGTTTGGCGGCCTCATCAAGGTACGGACTTCCGTGTTGGATTTGGAAAGTAGAGAAGAGGAGTATCACAGGAAGTTCAGCGAGAGAAACAAACCAATAATCTGTGTAATTGATTCTGAAAATGTAAAGAATTAAACTGAAAAGCTCCTCCTGTGAGTTCACGCTAGATGTACCCATGTCGTATGTTTTCTCCACCGAACTGACCTTTTTATAACTTCACTCTGGCGACAGCGCAAAGCTCGAGCAGAGCAGCTGACAGCAGACAGGCGGGTCAGACACATCTCGCCCGATACCGTCAACAGGGCTGGAAGAAAAGCTGGTAAAGAGAACGTCATCCTCCAAGGGGTGAGGCTTTTATTTAGCTTTTAACCACTTTTACACTGAGAAACTCTACTGCACGTTATTTACCTTTGTTGTGTTTGTGTGTCTGCAGGTGAACAGCCCATTAAATGGTCCTGTGCTGGGGAAGGTGGGGCTGGTGGTAAAAAACCCAGACTTTACTTTTACTGAGAACAAAGCTCTGAAGGTTTCCAAGGTACGAAACAGTTTCCTTTTCTTTTTTTTCACCTGAAATGAGAAAAATCTGAATTTAAAAAGATGCTGCACACGTCAAGCTGCACACTCTGCAGTGAGGCCTGCTTTCTAGTTTGCTTCTAGTTTTGACGTCATGATCATCTCTTTGTCCGACCAGTTGCAAATGTAAATCTCCATCCTCTCTCCTCCCCTCCCTCCATCCCCTCCCTCCATCCTCTCTCGGCAGGCCTCTCCCGCTGTGACCAGGATGCGTTTCTCTCCTGCCCAGGAGATCTCTGTGTAAAACCCGCCACCGTCTTCTCTTCAGACTGGATTTGGGCAGTGTTACTATAATCAACCCTCATCTGTTATCGTTGTGTTTTCATTGTAGTAAGTTTGATATAACTGTGAGTTTGTTCAGCAGGTTTAACCTCAGCCAGGGCAGCTGAACCAAAATCAGCAACTCGACCGGTACCCACAGTTTTTGTTTTAGATGATATGAGGAGAATTAATGTTTTTACTGGTTTTAATGTCTGTCGGTTTTATTTTTGAGGCAAAAAGCAACAATATTGAATCATCAGCTGCACTTTAAAAGGAACCACAGAGTTTTTCATGTGATGGTAAAGTTTGGGATCTAATATTGTCTTTAACAGACTTAATTTATTTAACAACACGTTAACGGTCTTTAAAATAATTTAGATGTTAGACCACACTGTGCTTCTGATGGAGATCCAGACCTGTGGGAGTCAGGCTGAGTGATTTCAAATCACAACTCAATGATACTGTGATGCTGATCGGTTGTTCTGCTCCTGATATATCTGAATATATCCATTTTGAAATAATCTTTAGTTTTTTTTTAAGCGGCACCATCTGATACGATCAGTCTGCGTTATCTGATCCGAAGCATTAATGCTCTTCTTCTGTCGCAGAACTCGTTTTATAAATAAACACTATTAGTATTTACATGAGTTCAGCTCCGCCTCGGGGCGAACAGATTCACCTGAACCAGTTTCTTCACGTTGGTTTGGCTTCTCTGGCTCGAAGCTGCTTGTGCCAGTTATCACTTGAAACTCATTTTATTTGTTTATATCTACTTTATATCAGAGTCATCGGCCTGTAGTTAGCGGAGCTCACATCGGCCGTAGCATGTAGAATATGTATATATGTTGTAGTGTATGTGTGTGTGAGTGATGTGCATGTTCTGAACGTTTTTAGATTTTATTCTTATTGGGAACTGTGATGAGCGCCTTGGGTACGATACTTGGGTGAAAGACTTCTTGGGATTGTTGCTGCTGATCCAGAATCAGCTGGATTTTATTTTATCTCCTGGTATGAAAAACATTAATTAATAATCGTCTCACGGGGTCAAAACCACGAACAGGGATCCCTGCGAATCTGTCAAATATCAAACTCAGAATATCTCGAAGGGCTTTTTAATTATTTTTTTAACTGTAGCTGGTGATGGAGGATTCATTCGTCTTAAATTGAACGAAAGTGTTTGTTCTGTTGAAATGAAAGTTTTTTGATTTTACATCAGTGGAAATGAGCAGTGATCTGTTACAGAGAGGTGCACTCCTCCTCCGTGTGTGTGTGCGTGTGCACACGTTGTGCTCTATCTAAGGGTGATTGTGTTACGAAGAAGAGGCCGGGCTCTGAGTCTGAGTAAAGTAAGAAAGGATCTAAATGTGATTGGACGTCAGGCAGCGTCACCCGGTCGTCTTCTTAGCACATCGTGTTAATGTGATAAAACATGAGTCTGTTACAGATTCTGATTTCATGTGTTCCATTTAGAACGATGTGAAGGGACGACAGTGAGTTTCAGGATCGTGTGATGAAAGGGACATTAAGACGTCTTTCTCCACAAAATAAGAGCATCTATAATGTAGTGACACAAACAAATGTGTGATTGGTTGAGCAAAGGATCAATTTTGAATATTTTTGCAGTTGGTTCTCTTTTGAGTATTAACAGTTTACACAAGGGGGGGGGGGGGTGTTTACCAGCACCTCCCGTGGTCTGAGAGGTAGAATGACTGTTTCCATCAATGGAGTCTGAGCAACATAACAGCTGCTTCTAGTTAAACACAGAGCATCTTATGATTTCACTCTGTCAGGGAACAGATGTTTTAGTGCTCGGACATCTGCCCCGTTTTATTATTGTGCAGCAACAGTTGCTGGAGATACTGTGTTTGCTCAAAAGTGAACTGGATGCAAAGATTCTTGTTCTTATCCATCATTTACACTGAAAAACACAAGGTTCAACAATCCCTTAATTAAATAAAGTTATTCTCAATGATTGTGATTAAAGTCCATAAATATCACAAACAAAAAAACATTGCACTTTTTTATCTGCAGAATAAATTCTGCTGTTAACCCACAGATTTATTTTGTCATGTTTGTATTTGCAGAAACTGAAATACTAACTTAATGTCCCTTTTAAATATTTTGAACGATGTAGTTTAATTTGATTAACTGTTTCGTTCTCAGATCCTCAACTTGGCTGTTTGACCTAAACTGACTCGGCTCAGTTTGTTGTATCGTCAGTACGGATGCACCAGTTCCAAGTTTTCAGCTCTGAGAAATACATTCGTTTTTAATTTCCAGACTTTTCCCTAAACACTCCAGAGCCGGTGAGCGTCCGCTGCCTTGCTCAGTGGCACCTCTGGCAACATCCTGCTGAACCCAGACCAGCTCTGCATTCATTAGTTTCCATAAACTTTAAAAAGGTTTTGTTCGCTCATGGGTCTCATCATATATTTGTTTCTCTGGATGTGAAGCTGAGTCTGTTTCTGGTGCATCCTGCTGTTGAAGGTTTTGTGGATGTTGTATCGATGGGTTTGTGGAAGTGCTGAAGGTGTTGAACGTGATGCGTCGGGTACAGATAGACACTAAAGATTGACTTCATGTTTGTTTTGACTGAATTTAATGTCAGAAGAGAAACAAGCTTTTGAACTGAGACCCCTCCGTGTCGTTGTTTTCTCTTCTGATGACTTCTCCTCATCTGTTTTGGTTCTCTGCAGTTTTACGAGCCAGTTTTAAAGGAAGGTCAAATTGTTTTCTGTTGTATTTATTGCTGTTTGCAACTTTAACATTTTTAATAACACAGTTTGTATGTCTGTGGTATTTACTAAAAAAAACCCTGCAAGACTTAAGTGACACTGTTTTTCTTTCTGAGTCAGTTTCCTGCTACTGTTCTATCGGTGTCTTTAACATCTGTGTGAAACATGTAGTTCCTCTGCTTCTTCTGCACACTGTGAAAATCAACACTGAAGGAAGTTAAAGTTGAACATTAGTAAATTTAAAATGTTGCCTGATGGGTTGAACTGCGTCTCAGCTCTTTGTTTATTGGGACAATGAGAAGTTGAAATGTCAGTTTGACAAACTTTGACTTTTTTTCAGCTTGATGAACCTAAACTTTTCCCTCGTGTCATGATGAGTTCGGTCAGTGACTGTTGGACCGCGTGGTTTAAACTGTGGTAACCTGTCTGTTTGTTTTTTTTTTTTTTTTAGTGTAAAATAATTTAACCCTGTAAATTGGATTCCTTGGCGAATGGTCCGCTTTGGATTAAATCTTTTTTTTATGTTTACTACAGAATGTCTGATGTTGTTTTTTATTTTAAATGTCTCAGTTGTGTCCACTGTCTTCTTCTTTCTCTCTCCGCTTCCTCCCATCATCTTCAAAAGAAGCGAAACTATCCCGGATACAAATGCCAGCCACCAGGGGGCGATTGATACACTTTAGCTGAGTGTATTGGGGAGTTGTAATGTCGTCCATCTTTATTTCAAATTCAAGTTGAGAAAACAATTGTCCGTCAGATTGGAGCAGATTGTACTTCTGTAGTTCCAGTATTTGCTCAGTAGAGGGAGTTATTGGACAACATACAGATGTGTACATCTGGTTCAAGCTTCAAGTTCAAACACACGTGTCACATTATTCACTAAACATCAGGACGACATGTTCAGATTCAAGTTTATTATAGTTTAACTGTTAGTTTTCTGTTTCTCACTTGAATTTATTAGGATCGTTGTGTTAAATGTTAAAACTCATCATCATAGACAAACTGTCTCCCCCTGCAGGAAGGTCAGAGGTCAGAGGTCGGGTCGTCCTTGACTCCACAGAACAATTTAATCCTCAAAGTATAACAAACACTTGTTATTTTTCTGACATCACAGTTTCACAGAAAGACTCTTTGATCTAAATATAAAGTATTTGAATATAAAGTATTTAAATATAAAGTATTTAAATATAAAGGGTCTTTTCTGGGGTAATAAAAACTACAATTCATACGATTTAGATGAAACGAACTCGTGAAAACATCACGAGGATTGTTCTACATTAAATAGTTCCCTTTCAGCTGAATCCTACACACTGGACCTTTAACTCGTCGGTGGTGTGTCTCAAATGATTAATCGAGTATTAAAAGTAGGTGCAAATTAAAAGGCTGATTATTTCAGCTCTATAAATTGAGTTGCAGCATTAAAACAATAATCAGCATCTCTTGCTCTGTGCGCTGAAGTTGTGACGTCATCAGAAGTGGTGGGAATCGCAGGGTAACTAACGATGTGCGATACATGGCTGCACGATAACGATAATATCGCGATTTTGCGACGATCGATAAATCGCAAGAAAATCATGTAACGACCCGTCACGGTATCTGTGTAACTGAGGAAGATGCTCCTAAAACTGTAAAACTAAATACACGTGGATGTTTGGCAGCAGTCACATCTCTGTGCTCCTGAACGGACGTTTGGCTCCACCTCTGATCAGGAGATTCCTTCAGCTCCTGGACGATTTCTTTATCAGCTCTGTTGGTTTTTTTTATCAATGGATCGTTCTGCTCTGGTTTGTGACAGTAAACATTTTGGTTTTAAATGATACGAGACGCAGAGACTTTTCTAAATCTGAGGTTATCGTGAAGTGATGTGTTTGAGACAAAAGCATCTGCTCCGTCCTTCCAGAAATCAATTCAGACGCGTCTGCAGAAAAAAAAAACACCTCCCACCCACCGACCCCCGCCTCAAAAAAAAAAAGCTATTATGGCCCCAGGAATGAGGGGGTCCACCCCCCTGGAGATGTCAACATCTCGTCCCTCCCTTTGTTGCAGATTATCGCTGAATGAGTCATTCAATACGGCCGCACAAAGGAGGCAGCCGGGACTCTGCCTGTGGCCAATTTGTTTTCCATCACTTCTGAAGAGCGCCTGGTTAAATTAACCCGTCATAGCAGGTCTGCAGGGAGAAGACAAAGTGAGGCCACGAGCAATAATCACTCATGTATGGTGGTAAATAAAAAGCCGGGTAAACTCTGCCCTCCGGTCGCTGATCGCCGTACTGTAAACAAACGCCAAATCAAATCTGTTACTCAGAGAAAATCTAATTATGCGCCACAGAACCGCCTGATGTGGTGATAAATACAGCAACTGCTGCAAACCAGACGAAAACAACGACTCCATCTTTAACTCCTGTCTTCAGTGCTGCTGTAGCATCCTGTATTTATCATTTACAAAGGTTTAATGTGTCTCACAGTTTTCACAGTGAATAGAAGCTTCACATTTTTTCAGTTTCCCAAATGTGAGGATTTGCAACTTTCTCTTGTTTGTGGACGAGTTGTGAATCAACCTCAACACATTTCTGATGAAGCCACGAATCCAAACATTGAGACTTGCTGCCCTGAATGTGATGAACAGAAGGTGGAGACTCTCAGAAGGTTTATGGGTTGTTGGGTTTTCTTTTTTTTTTTTTTTTTTTTCCTCGCTGATTCAGATTTTTTCCCTCCCCTTCTTTCTCTCCTTGGTAATATGGCAATCACAAAAGCTGGAGCCAGCGTTTCTGTGGAGATTTAAAAAAAGAAAACAGCCAGGCCCTATTTGAATTTCAAAGCCTCGCCAGTGAATTCATAATAGACTTCTGAGGAGCTGTGGAAGCTTATGGCATTCCAGTTATGCCAGTTTAATAAGACCCCCCCCCCCCCAGCACACACCTTCCTCCTCTAAGTTCCTGCAGTTTGGTTTGATTCTGAGTCAAAAACACAAATATATTTTTATGTGTTTTCACATTTAACAGGAGCAGAACGTTTATTGTTCCATCTCTCCACAAATTGTTTTTCTCTCCTCACATTTTCCCTGGAGCTTCCTGGTCGGATGCTTCAGCCTCATCACGATTTCCTCTCATCTCCTCTCTCTCTCTCTCTCTCTCTCTCCCTCTCTCCCTTCCTTCCTCCCCTCTTCTGTCTCTCCTCTCATCATGTCCATGCAGCCTTAGGGAGGAGAGAGCATGTGGGTGAGAGAGATAGACAGAAACAAGGAGAAGGGCAGAGAGAGAGAGAGAGAGAGAGTGAGGGGGAAAAGGCTGCCGTCACTGGAGGTGAAGGCTCCTCCACTGCTGCTGTCACTGAAGAGGTGTGTGTGTGTGTGTGTGTGTGTGTGTGTGTGTGTGTGTGTGGAAGGGGGTGTTATGGGAGGAGTCTAAGTGCTGTTATTTGTAAAAGCTTTTGATGGATGATTGCTCTGTGTGTGTGTGTGTGAGTGTGTGTGTGTGTGTGTGTGTGTGTGTGTGTGTGTGTGTGTGTGAGTGTGCGAGTGAGAGACACACAGAGGGAGTGAGGGAGTCCCCCCCTTCTCTTTTTTCTAGTCTCACTGTTCGGTGCACAATGACTCAATGAAAAGTGGAGGGGAGAGGCGAGCACACTGTACGTCTGCATGAGAGAGAGGGAGCAGAGAACACAGAGCAGAGTGGAAGAAGAAGAAGAAGAAGAAGAAGAAGAAGAGGGGGAGGCAATTGGAGGGAGCTGTGAGGCTGTGGACAAGAGAAGGGGAGGATATACTTGTCTTCTCCCCCCCTCCTCTCTTTCTCTCCCTCTGAAAGGCCACTCTGGGATCAAGTGGCAGCCGTTCAGTCCCAGCTCAACTTCACCTGGCTGCTCGTCTCTCTCAGCCTCTCGAAGCGTCTCATTCCACCTCAAGCCTCTCCCTCCACTTCTGTCCTCCTCAAGGAGCTGCTGCCGCTCACTCACTCCACGTCCTGTGCCTGTCTCTGCAGTGTGGTGGAGCACCGCAGGAGAGCAGGATGCCTGCTGGGAGAGGAGGGGTCGGAGCCGGGTCAGGACTCGGCTGCGGGACAGCTCTTCGCTCTGGGCTGTGGACGACGCTGGCGTGGGGCGTTGTGGTGCTGCTGGCAGGTGGTGGATGTGCGGAGGCGTGCCCGGCTCTGTGCAGCTGCCTGGGGAACACGGTGGACTGTCACGGCCTGGGGATCCACTCCGTACCCAAGAACATCCCCAGAGGGACCGAGAGGCTGTGAGTACTCGTGCACTGACCGTGTGTGGGTTCACGTTAGGTTCCACTTGTGAGGACGATCAGGGATAGTAAGAGGAGGGGGATCCTTCAGGGTGACGGCACCTTGCTGCTGCTCACTTCATGTGTAGGACCAGGTTCTATTAGTCTTGGTTTATAGGTCAGAGAATGAAGGTCCGCACATGTATGATGAAACACACATATCTGCATGTGTGTGTGTGTGTGTGACAGAGGAAGATGAAGGAGTTTCTGTGTGTGTGGATTTATAAATTAGTCTGTGGTGGGAATTGAATTATCAGTGTGACTCACCCTGTGTGGAGTTATTACCATAGTGTGTGTGAGTGTGTGTGTGGCTTTGTGTAATTTCTGGTTTGCTGCAGTGTCTTTTCTCCGGTGCTCATTAGGTCTCTTTACATCTGTTTAACTTCATCACACACACTCTCTCTCTCTCTCTCTCTCTCTCTCTCACACACACACACACTCACTCACAGTGCTGCTCTGCGGCATCGTTGCTCTCCCTGTTGTGATTTCACATTCAATTGGTTTTTAATTTTCTCCATTATCATGTTTATATTATTCACATGCCTCATGTTCTGCACAGAGTCCTCATCGTCTGTTAGTGACTGACTCCTCACACGGTGAAACTGCACAAGGTTCAGAACATTGTGATATGATATAAATCTTTGCTCCTCTCTGACTCACCTCCTGCAAATGTTTCTCACTGCACATTGTCAGTTCCTGGCTCCGAGTCTAATTAATGAGAACACGTCTGCCACATATTCCATCTTAACGAGGCTCCTGGTGTCCTCTGTGATGACCCTAACATGTTTATTTAAACTTTCCAAGACGTGTTGATTCAACGATGGGAATTTTAATAAGAGCTTGTAGTTTATGATGCTGTTGTACCAGAATGCATTGCACTAGAATGTGTTTCTAATGTTCGTCGTAAATTGTTAGAAACCACTGCAACCTCATCAACCAATACATTATATAGTCAAACAAACATTACATTATTATATTTGTATTTATAGTTTCCATTTGTCTGAAACGTTAGAATATGAAATCAGATAATATCTATATTCTCCGGTAAACATTTCACTTTTGAGAAGTGACTCACATCAACTTCTCGTTCTGCCCCACTGATCTAATTTTCCTGAAACTTCCAGGAGTCATTAATCTTCCCTCCGCACGGAAACGAGCGCTCAGATCGTGTTAACACGTGTAGCAGCCGCTATTTCCAACGCAAGTCTGCTTCAGATTGAGATCACGTCCGTTTCCAGGAATGTCTCTGACGGCCAGAGAAGATGTTTGAACCAAAGTTCCTCTAATCTCCTGATGATGATGATGATGATGATGATGATGCTGGTGGTGTCATTGTTGGTTTCTTGTCCGTCCCGCAGAGAGTTTCTACTTGTGTTGAACGTCAGTGTGAAATGACGACTCTCTGAAACTGTCCTTCACTGTTGGATTCCTATTTGTCAGAGCCGAGGTTGTGCTGGAGAGTTCTCTTTTGAAACCCTGAACTAAAATGGGAAATGGGACATATGTGAATATATATAAATATAAATATAATACACAAAAGGACGCACTTTATCTGTTTCCTTCTCAGTGTCCTGTTTGTGGCTCTGGGTGAACATGTGTGTGTGTTTACTTCAGGTTCCAGAGTGCCTGTGTGTGAATAATTGATGATTGTCAGCGGTGCCAGCAGAGATACATTTCCGTCGTCCTCTCTGGTTTACTGTAGCGTGGAGGATGTTTTCCCCTCTGAGGCTGATAGCTTTATGATCGGGGACGGGGGGGCTCGGGCTCCCGGTCAAAGAGAAATGGCCTGGAAAAAAACTCTGAGCCCGCAGAGCCACTTGCCCGTTTGTCTTCTCGCCGTCACAGTTTCTCTCTGAAGGTTGTTTTGCTGTAAGAGGAAGTGACAGTGGAGGAACAGAGGAAAATGGCTCAGCGTCGACAACATGACGTGTTGCTGGTGCAGATCAGAGGAACAGGGTCCTTTAGCCTTTAACCTTCATGTACAGCTTCACTGAAGCTTCATGTTTGCTCACAGTTTCATTCGATCTGTTAGTTTTAGTTTCACTTTGTAATTTAAGGACTAAAGAATTCTGTCCGACACACGTACGTTCTGTCGCCGTCTTGACTCTGATCGGTTTGCAGACGGCGAGGTGACACAGATTCTGTGTCTTGGACAACGGAGATACTTTTTATTCCCTTTCTGTCGCCTAGTTTAACGTTCACTAACGTCGGCAGTGAACTCTGTGACCTGGGCGCAGAGCAGCCGCGGTCTGTTCCATCCCAGAGTTGGTTCTTATCAACAGACTCGTCCCAGGTCAGTGCAGCGTTCGTGTTATTCTACGTACAAACGGCTGAAGGAGAAACTTCACCGACAGGCATGTGCTGAAGTTTGCAGATGACACCGTGCTAATCAGTCTGCTCCAGGATGCAGAGGTCGATCATGTGCCAGCTGTGGAAAAGTTTGTCGAGTTCCTGAAGATACGAGCATCGACTGGAGGGAAACACTCTAACGCCTCGCTCGCTTGTTGGGTACCTGGCTACTTCAAGAACTTCAGATCAAATCCGATTGTGTTTGTTTTGCCTCATCTGGTTTAATGATCTGCACAAGGTTGCGACATCGTCTTAAGTGAAGAAGAACTTGAACTTTGACCTCAGTACATCCACAACCTGGAGAAAAAGGCCCTTTTTTAGAAACAGTAAATGTTCTGTCACTTTTCTTCATTTAATGGTTGAGAAGTAAATCCAGCTCACAATAAGAATGAATCACCTCAGCCCATGTGTGACTGGAACCAACGACCAACGACCGGTTATTCCGTCCATGTAAACTAACCAGCGTGACCTTTTGACCTCTGAGTCGTTTCCCTCCCCCCCCCCTCAGACAGTCCCTGCCCTGCAGTGGAGAGGAGTGACTCATTAAGCTGCTATTTGTTAAAGGGCTTGTCGCCCAATTAGCATGTAAAGTGATCTGAGTGTGTGTGTGTGTGTGTGTGTGCGCTGGTCACCGGTGGGCATAGTTAGTGGTGTGTGTGTGTGTGTGTGTGTGTGTGTGTGTTGGTTAGAGACGTGTGTGTACAGTATTCCCTGGGAGACAGCCGGCAATAAGAGAGTCATTTATCAAGGTGACTGCACCGGTCCCACCAAACACCCCCTCCTCGCCGGATTGTCATGGCAACGCTGAAAAATGGATGCCCCTGTGGGCCCTGATGAGCTCGGTTATTTGAGCAGAGCGAAGAGGAATGTGTGTGAGAAAGAGCGAGAGCGGGGGAAATGTGTTTGCGAGTGTGTGAAGTGGAATCAGAGAAAAGACTAAAGAGCAGAAGTCAGTCAGTCACTTCTGCTTCTGGGAACAATATCGTTTAAAAAAAAAAATCCAAGAGAAGGAATTCAGGTCACTGTGGTTAACGGAGACGCCGAGGACGATTCAGAACATAACACAGAGAAACTACACTAACAGTGTTAACTTGTAAAAGCTTTTAACACTTATTAACGTTAACGTCTAAATGGATGATGATGATAAATCCATTACTTGTATACGACTTCATAATGTTCTGAAAAAGTTTTAAAGACAAACTTTGTGTGAGTAGCAGTATTAGTAGTAATGAGTAGATGTTTAAGTTTTAATTCAGAGTTTAAAGATCAACAACAGAATTTCACTGCGTTGGATTAAGATTTTAAAACTCTGCCAGGAAAATAAGATGAAATTGAATTTTAGCGGTGATTCGTCTGTAGAATGTGACACACAGAGCGGTCCGGGCACTTTGCTGCAGGACGACAGAGTTTGATGCTGAAGTGTCTTTAACAATCAGCTCGAGGAAATCTGCAGACGAACCCAAACTGTGTGAGCGTGTTTGAACGGGACTATGAGACGCAGGTCGGAGTCGGACTCTGCGTTTTTGTAAAGAGAGTCTGTGGATACCAACTCAAACATGAACACCTGACTCAGCTGCACACTGAATAAACACTTATTTTCTCCATGCACCATTTTACAAATTGGGCATGAAATAAAAATATGAATCAAGCTGTGCGTTTGTGTGTGTGTGCGCCGTAATGTGTTGCCGCCAGTGAGACGGCTAATCGAGTGTGCAGAGGATTAGCGTTAGCGACTGACGCTGTGGGTGGAGAGCGGGAAAGTGAGGTGCCACGTGCACACAGGGACGCTACACACACACACACACACACACACACACACTTAGAGGACATTGCATTGAGTTACTGGACATTTAACAGAAGTTTAATGCTTCATTTCACAGGGACAGAGACGTCTCTGTCTCTTTTCAAGTTTAAATTCCGCCACACAGTGAGAAGTCCATTGGAACTGGAATGGCACAGAGCTCATCAGTTTGGTCGTTTTTGTCTGTTATCTGTAATCGGATTTGAAAATTAAAAAACGTTGTTTAATTTCAAATGCACAAACAAGGGATGAACAAGTTATCGTATTAAAATCGTGATCTCGATTCACGGCTGTATCTTTTCTTACTGACGATTCTGCTGGATTCCCATCAGCTGCATCAAAACACGCACTTCTACTTCCTCCTAATAAAGCGCCCCTCCCCCATAATGCTGCATGATCTCTGCCTCTCCCTCAGTCTGTGACAACGCAGCGTCGCATGATGCAAAAGTTGCAGACAAAGAAAAGCAGAGAAAAGTTTGTGTTGCGGACAAAAAAAACTGAATCTGGAAGAAAAGCTGCTGATGATGGAAGAGATGGTACTCAGCGGTAACACATCTGTCTGAAACTGCTGACACACACACACACACACACGTCTCTATACTAAGTTCAGTTTCGTCACAGACACAAAACGAGATTCCATTCACGTCCACGTGTAGAGGATCTTAAAACTTTAAAGTTAAACTGGAGCTTTCAGAAGACTTTGTTACAGTTGGGTATAAGTAACACCAGTTATTAATTAGTAGAATCTCTCTCTCTCTCTCACACACACACACACACACACACACTCACACACTCACACACACACACCTAATTTCTCAGTTCCATTACCAGTGAGCTCCACCTCAGCTTCTTTCACCGTCTCTCTTATAATCATTGTACCATTTTCCCTGCAGCCCCTCAGTGGGAAAGACGCTGCTAATGAAGTGCCATTAGTCCTGAATGTGCGTGCTTGTGTGTGTGTGCGTGCTTGTGTGTGTGTGTGTGTGTGTGTGTGTGTGAGATGGGGAGAGTGAGGAGGAGAAGGCAGCAGGAGGAGGAAAGTGGAGAGTTGTTTCAGGCTGTCAGATGAAGAGGAGGACACGGGGAGGTGAAGATGTTAGTGAAACCTCAGAGAGTCTTACTGTTGACTTGGGTTTCTCATGAAGACTTCAGGCAGATGGTGATTTATCAATAAACTCTGCCTCGTTCCTTTTGCATGTCAGGAAATGACTTGTTCTTTGAGCAGCAGTACGTTTGCTGCTGATTCCAGGTACCAAGCGTCCGGGTGGGATGTTGGGTCCAAATGAACGACCCGAGAAACCTCACACTCCAACATCTTGTACCGGATGTTCTGTTCTCGTGAAACAGAGAATTAAAATCCACCTTTCTTCTTTTCTTTGTATTTCTTTATTTCTAATTGTGCGTGATTCCTGGAACTCATCTCGCGACCCTCGAATCTTTACAACTCTTCTAAGTTTCTCAGTGAACATCGTAAATAAAAAATGGACGACGCAGCTAGACTTCCTTCCACTTTCCAGAAATGAAGCCAAAAAAATCTCAGAAATGACAAACGGTGCCGTCGTGTGCAGAAGATACGAGATCTGTCTGTGCAGCTGCGATCGATGGACGAAGTTTCACCCAGTTATACGTCAAATAACTAGAAAACCAAACAAACCAGCCAAACTGACAGAAACAGGATCTCTGAACGTGATCTCACTTCCTGTCTCTGTCCGCTGCACCCGGCTGCTCCACCTCTCACGACGCGGAGGATTCGATGCTGTTGTGTCTGCGCAGAAAAAAACCTGCTGCTGCGTTTTCGAGTGTGAAAAACAAACCCCAGACCCAATTTTCTGATAACGGTCGACACGACGATGCCGCTGACGATGGCAGCGTTTGTGTTCTGGTGTATTTCGGCTTCATCTCCGGATAGTGGGAGGAACCGGAGACGAGCTAATGAGCGTGTTCATGATGTCAAAGTGAATCAATGAGAGTTTTTCATGTTGTTTTAACAAACGCGAGGATTCGACTCAAGGAAAAACTTTCCAGTGTTTCCAGAATTATTCACAGTTTGTCTCATTCTTGGATGTTTGACTCGCTCCACTCACCGTTTGTCTTTCTCTGTTTGTTTCTTTTCTCTCTATCCACATGACGTATTTCATCATCTTACTGAATACACCTCCTCCTCCTCCTCTTCATCCTCTTCCTCCTCCTCCTCCTCCTCCTCCTCCTCCTCCATGTCAGATCTGACAGTGGAGAGCAGAGCTGAGCAGATCAACTGCCTCACTGCCCACTGAGGCTGTGTGTGTGTGTGTGTGTGTGTGTGTGTGTGTGTGTGTGTGTGAGACGCGTTCTGCTTTAATGAGCTATTGTTTGGCAGAGTCGCCACTCGAGGGGAGTCTGTCGCTCAGCTGACCCCTGACCCCGCCATGCTGCACAAAACTCAATTAACCACGCCTCATCAGGCCGGTGCTTGTGTTCATCTCTCCCCTCGAGTCTCTCTCCTCCTCCTCCTCCTCCTCGCACAACAAAGACAGAATCCTTCGAGCGCTCCGTCATCGCTGGCTGATACTTTTCGTTCTCTGTGTGTTTCCTGCGTCGTCCGCACGTGCTCCTGTGTGAGTGTGAAAAACGCGGCCGCTCGCTGTTCGTCCCCTCGTCCTCCTCGTGCGTGTTTCTCCAGCGAGGTTTAGCTGTCGGGGTAATTTCACACACATCCAGGGAGTGATTTTGGACCCCCCGCCATGACCCGTCTCCATCCATCCTTCCCTCCCTCGCTCCCGGCCAATCCCCCTCCCTATGCTTCCCGCTCGAGAGCCAGCACCTCCTCCATCACTGGGCTGTGAGACCTCATCTTCCAGTTGGATTAGATTGTTCCACCTTCAAACGGTGACTACACCCAGGTGACAGTTCTTGAACTGAACTACTTAGAAACGTGTCTTTCTTTCCACCATAGATTCGGACAAACTCCTCTAACTTTCTGTAACTTTCCTTCGTCTCTAAAGTTGGTTCTGCTCCGACAAACCGACCTTTGCCGATTCCAGAAATCTCCGTCTGTCTGTGACTCACACGTCAACAAGCCGCACGCCTCTCATGTGTATTGTTCAGCGGCCCAAGTCCACAGCCCGTCCCGAACAGGCAGGGTTAGAGCAGACACTGAACCGGTGTCCTCGAGGTGGATTGTTTGTTTTGCAGATGTTGTCGTTTGTGTGTTGAGTTGAGAGTTCAGGAAGTGAAGCTCGTCAGGACTGAAGGAAACGACAACAGTGGAGGGGGAGTTTCTGTTGTTGTGACAAAACGATCAGTCAGTTCATTGATAATGAAATTCATTCTCATGAAAGACAGTACACACAGTACACACACAGTACACACACAGTACACACACAGTACACACACCAAACCACAGCATCCTCTCTCTCTCTCTCTCTCTCTCTCTCTCCATCTTTCCTTCACATGGGACAAGGCAAGGTCACACTCTGCTCCACCCTTTACAGTGGTCCAGCAACATGACACCCCCCCCCCCCACACACACACACACACACACACACACACAGGTACGTGCACGGGGCTCAGCTTACCTCTCCTTCCACAAAGCCTCGTGGGAAGAGTGACATCATCCCCCTCTCTTTCTTCGCCGCTGTCAATCAAAGTAGACAATGCGGTCACGGGGTTAAACCCCTCCCTCAGAGTGGCTGGACGAGTAGAATATCACATGACGCACGTTGGTCGACAGTTTGCACCTGAAGTGAACGAATGAATGTTGGCAGGATGGAGAGAAACCCCTGGAGAGAGAGGAGTTAGAAACATGTGACAACATGAAGCAGGTGCTCGTGTCGTCCTCGAACTGCACGAACCACGGACTGTGAATGAAGATGGACGACGTGGCGGCTCGCAAAAGTGAAGCCAAAGGGGTTTGATGGCCCCCTGGAGGCTGGCTGCAGTATAGGTCAAAAAGCCCGCCTCCTCCATGTTAGAAAAAGTCAAAGTAGACGGGCACTGATACGGCGGCTTCATCCCCCAATCGCTGCACAGGCTTTTGGAATTTCTGGATAGTTGGCGGCACGGTGGTGCAGTGGTTTGCAACATTACACTGGAAGAACCTGACTTTGAGGAGAGCTCTGATTATTTATTACATCATATTGTCCTGCTGCCGTGTGAGTCGTTCTTTACTTCTGAACAATGTGTGGAAGCAACAATCAATATTTTTATCCAACAATAACTGAGTCGTGTGTCTGAATTCTTTGTATTTGAACTCGTGTACTTGGCCGCAGACCGTAAACATGTTGATGGATGTTTCTCAGATCCCACAATTGATAAAGTTTATTAATTTGATATGAAGTTTTCCTCCTGTTTTCTGATCTGCTGTTTGTCTTTCCTGTCTCTTTCAGTGACCTGAACGGAAACAACCTGACAGTCATCACCAAGACGGACTTCTCTGGTCTCAAACACCTCAGAGTTCTGTAAGTCACTGCCTCGTCTATTCACACCACTGTTTATAATCCGACCTTCGCTCACTGCTGTCGGACGCCTTGTTGACACGGCGGCAGCTTGTGTTTGTCCAGCACAGATTTCCCTGGCAGCTTTAGGTCCGGCAGGAATGTGGGGATCATCACCACAGAGCCGTCGAGGGCCAGAGGGCACGGAGCGACGCTTGAGCTCAGCTCTGACACGTGAACCACCCAGAGGTGCTTGTTCGGTGTCAGTGTCAGTCAGATTTACAACAGGGAGGGGTTTGTCTGTGACCCCATGACCTGGAAACACCGTGCCCTCTGGGAGAGGATGGATGAGCAGCGGTTTCCTGTGTTAACCCACGGATTGGGACGGTGCTGAGTGGCAGTGATGGACACGAGGTGTTAAAAGGACGACATGCCAGGAGCTAATGACATCTCCGGAGGCCTGCTCAGAACAGATTAGCTGCCCGCTGGGTTCCTGGGAGCTGGCTGCCGTCAGGAGGGGGTTTGATGTGGGGGCGGTTTGGAGAAACCTGCGCTCATGAGAACGTGAGATGTCAGAACTTCAGTTTCATTATTTTGTGTAAGAATTCCTGCAACAGCTCGCCCCAGAAGACGTAGGATGTCGGGTCGGTTCAAGAATGAATCAACGGGAATCGAGCGCAAGCAAACAAAGATGGACGACCCGTCTCCACTTCCTGCCACTATCCAGAAATGAAACAATAAATATCCCAGATATGAACGCGAGCATCTTGCCGAGATGTCTTTTAGAGGCAGAGTCTGTGCAGCGGCGATCGGGGGACGGAGCAGCGGAATCAAGGCGCCGCCAGAACACGAGCTCCACCAATCACGAGTCAGCCTCAGCTGTCAATCATGATGTCTCAGCCCCTTTTTTATAACATCAAATAAATAATTAAAACCAAACTTATTGGAGACATGAACACTTGAACATCATCGAGATGAGACGCCATCTTTGTTTTGCTAACCCTTTCCTGTCTCTGGAAGTCTGCTGATGTTTCCTGAGAGAAAGAAGTTTCTAATAGCAAAACTAAAATGAAACTATAATTACATTTTGTTCTGAAATGTTCTAATTATTTCTAGAATCTCACTTTATGACACCTGCAGCTTCCTGAGTCTATTATGATGAGTTGATCGATTATTTATGATCTGCAGACATCTAATGGAGAACCAGATCGGTAACGTTGAGAGGGGAGCGTTTGATGAGCTGAGGGAGCTGGAACGACTGTGAGAGGACACACACACACACACACACACACACACACACACACACTATAGAATCAAGGTGATGTTTTCATTAGTTGCCTAATCCACCATGTTCTTGTCCATCTAGTCGTCTCAACAAGAATCATCTCAGTCAACTTCCAGAGCTGCTGTTCCAGAAGAATGAAGCTCTGTCTCGACTGTGAGTACAACTACACACCTTCTGTTCTA